CCGGTGTTACACACAGATCCGTCCCCCGGAACATTCAGTGACAGCAACAACAACAACAACAGCAACAACAACAACAACAACAGCAGCAGCAGCAGCAACAACAACAACAACAACTACAACAACTACAACAAAAACCAAAGAAGAAGAAACACAACGAGGCTAAAAGGGAACAGAAAGAGCAGAATCTGCAGGCTGTTAACCCTGGGGATGGCATCCAAAAACAGGTGTGACTCAAAAAGAATAATTAACAATGATTATTTTTTCCATTATCTAGATACTGTAAATATTAACGTAACTGTTGTGTTGTTTTTGTCAGGTGGTAGTAAAGCAGAATGCTACAGCAGAACAGTTGAAACAGAGGAAGACCCTGGCTGCAGCTGAACGAGAGGAGAACCAGAGGTTTGGGTCTCAATACTTGTGTAGCTTTATGACAAATGTATCTATGTATCATCAACGTATCCTGTGGATGACAGTAGTATTTTATGGTATTCACTTCATTTCCCTCCACTTTTGTTGCTTATGTATCTTGATATAAATATAAATATATTTACTCCAACACCCTGCTGTCCTCTGCTTTCAGAATGATTGTGTGCAACCAGGTGATGAAGTTCATCCTCGACAAGATTGAGAAGGACGAGAAGCAGGCAGCTAAAAAGAGAAAAAAGGAGGAGGTGGTGGAGCAGAAACGCTCCAAACAGAACGCCACCAAGCTGACTGCCCTGCTGTACAAGCACAAAGAACAGCTGAAGGCTGAGATCCTGAAGAAGAGGGCCCTGCTGGACAAGGAGTTGCAGCTGCAAGTACAGGTTGGCACTCAGGAATCTTTCTTCATCAAGCATGAAATGTAGAGAGGAGTTTAAGATATATTAATCGGGGATATTATACTTTTTATTATTATATTATTATTATTATTATTATTACGTTACATGTCTTGTCTCCTCAGGAGGAGCTGAGGCGGGACATAGCCAGGCTACAGAAGGAGAAGGAGAAAGCAAGAGCTGCTATCACCCAGGCTGCTGCAGCGACAGTCAAGGCCGCCGCTTCCCACTCCTCCCATCCTTCACAATCTACCCATTCCTCTCACAGTGCCCACACGGTGCCCTTACCTTCTTCATCCCATAAACGTAAGAGGGACGAAGAGAGAGAAAAAGACAGAAACAGAGACAGGGACAGGCATCACGACAAGGACAAGAAACGGGACAGGGAGAAGGACCGAGACAAATGCAGAGAGCGGGATAAAGACAGAGACGGGGATCGAGAAAGGGAGAAAGACAGAGAGCGCGACAGGCATCGGGACAGGGACAAGGACAAGGACAAGGACAGAGACAGGGACAGAGAAAAGGACAAAGATTCCAGCTCATCAAAACACAAGAAGAAGAAGAAGCTCTCTTCTACCTCAAAGGATCATAAGAAGGACAGCAAATTGTACTGTATCTGCAAAACACCCTACGACGAGTCAAAGTAAGCTCTCTGGAGAAACTATTGTAATTACATTTCAACATACCACTGTAATGAACATGTTACTCAGTTGAATCGTCGCCATGACAAAATAAATAATATATAAAATAATCTTTTTCTCTCAGGTTTTACATTGGGTGTGACCTGTGCTCTAACTGGTTCCACGGCGTGTGTGTCGGCATCACAGAGAAAGAGGCCAAGAAGTTGGAGGACTTTGTTTGTAATGACTGCAAACGTGGTCAGGATGGAGGAAGCGATGGAGGAAGCAATGAGGAGCTGTACTGCATCTGCAGGACACCATATGACGAATCACAGTATGGCTCCTTATTCATTCCATAATTGTCATCAACTTCAAGTGTCAACATTAGCAGTGTGGTCATATCCATCCCAGTAATGAACATCTAGAAAATGCACAGTTTTGTTTGTAGGCAAAACTTGTAGGAACCCTGATTGTGACAGCTTTCATAATTCATCATCTTCATTTTCTTCTCCATATGGAAGCTTTAATTGGTGTGCTAACGATGTGTCCAATTCTCACCCACAGGTTTTACATAGGCTGCGACCGCTGCCAGAACTGGTACCACGGGCGCTGTGTGGGCATTCTGCAGAGTGAGGCCAATCACATCGATATGTACGTCTGCCCGCAGTGTCAGTCAACAGAAGATGCAATGACAGTCCTCACGCCGCTCACTGACAAAGACTATGAGGGATTGAAAAGAATATTACGCTCGTTACAGGTATGAAATGCGTACATAGTGTATGTCGGACTTTCTGTACTCGTATAATAGTATTAATAACTAATAAATATAAACTTAGATAAAAGCAAAAATAATTGTTTGCAAGAGGGCTGAAAAACTACAAGCAGTTAATGCATAAAAATATAAAGAAATAAAAACGGTTACAATAAAAGTATTATAAACACTATAAATGGGTGATATAAAAAGTTCACATTTAATATTTGCTTTTGAAGTGATTTTCTCTTACTTACTCTCACAGTACTTACTTGCCATTCCAAACTGCCCACAGTACCCTGCGTTGTAGTGGAACATATCTGGAACACCCAAACCACCTTTATTATATTGTCATTATAAAATATGCTTTACATTTCCTTAAATTGTTGTT